TTCATGTCTTTTTCTTTACCTATCTTATGGATCTTCCTTTTGGAAGAAATAGTTTCATTATATGTAATCAATAGCTAAAGATAAGTTGTTTTAGGCTCACAACACAAGTTGATAGATTTGTTTGGATGAGCTAATGAAACAAACAATTTTATCCTAAATGGTAGGGCTCGAAATGAGCCAATTTTTCGCAGCCCGACGCGGCCCAAAGTGACCGAGATATTGTGTAGGTCCGTCGGGCCCGATTCACGTTTTGCTCAGTCTGGCCCAACAGACCCGAAGGATATTTTCTTTACCAAGATTTTTCCTAAGATAATCTAGATGTCATTTCATTGTTTTACTATGTCAAAGATCTTCTGTACACGTAATTCTGGATATATAAGCAAACATAAAGAAAGTTAGCAGCGAATTCGAGCATTTCATGCTGATATTCGCTTTGGAACTTCGGCTGACTATAAAATTGATTGGACTGGATGCAGAATTAAATTCTCTATCGAATGGTGGTATTTTCAAAGCGGTCATTGGACAAAAAAATGAATGAAGGTGAAGGTTTGACGGTCTTATTCACATGTAGAGGTGGAAGCCGATGCCTTGATCAGCGGCGGCTGCTGAAAGCTTTCAATTTTTTTTGGTCCTCGGCGGCGGCTGTTAAAAAACTCTTAGGCAACCGACGGCGACGACTCAAAAATTCCTATTTTTTTCCGACTGTCGGCGGCGGCGGCTGGAAGTTTTTCACAATTTTTTCAAAAAATGTCTTATTTTCGAGAAATCTTGGAATGAAAATGGCACAATTGATAATAGGGAACGTTCCCAGAAGAAACTAGACTAGAAGAACCCTAGAAACTTATCCTGAGCGCTCAAAATATTTAAAAACCAAGTATATATATTTATATTACAGCGGCGGCGGCTCGACTTTCCGATAATTTTTTATCCTAACGGCGGCGGCGCGGCTGAAATGTTTGAGCATCAGCGGCGACGGCTGAGAAATCTTAAAATTTTTTCTGCCATCAGCGGCGACGGCCGGATTTTTTTCGAAAAAATCGGCGGCGGCGACGGCTCAGCCGCACGCCTTACGCCTCTATCCACATGCCTTCACCTGATCCTGACTCTTTCTTTTTTTTGCTCGATGACTCCCCTTGAAAATACTACCATTCGCGATAGAGAATTTAATTCTATATTCAGCGCAACCACTTTTAGGGGCAGCCCAACTCTTAGACCCAATATCAGTAAGATATACTGGTATGATAGGCTGAGCAAAAACCAGCATTTGGGGACAAAACTCCATTTTTTGCCCGATGATCCATCTTGAAAATATCACTATTCGATAGAGAATTTAATTCTGCATCCAGCCCAACTAATGTTATAGCCAGTCCAAGTCTAAAAGCGAATATCAGCATGAAATACTCGAATCCGCTGCTAACTTTCTTTACGTTATAAGCAAATGGTTTTAACTAAATTTGGTTTTTCTTTTTTACTTTAAATTTTGTCATTGTCAAAGCACACGATCGGTGAATAATTTTTATCGTTTCTTAACGATTTATTCCAATACACTATTATCTGTTTAAAACTATTTATTGAAGATACTAAATTTCATATTATGATGCATTTCAGAGACAGTTACAGAATAATGACTTCATGATCATTTAACTCTTAAATATCTCAAATATGATGTTATAATAAATGAAAATTTGCATGAAAGGATTATGTTTAGATCGGTACAAAAAGCAGCTGTTAAATGTGGAATATTCATTTTCATATTATGCCCGCATTTTTGCACAGAGGACGACCATTAATTTCATATGGAAATATTTGAGCATGGTTGATTAATTCTTTTTTGGTATAGAATGATGAAATTAGTGCCACTCGTTATGAAAGAGTTCATTAGTTCTGTTGTGACATAATTATGATGAGAAACATATTTCAATTCTAAGATAACATGGACGCTAATTTCTACTTTTGTCAAAAGTAGAAGTAAAAAATTTGGTTTGCAGCACAAATGCGAGAATTCTGTTATTTTTAGACGATCTTCGTATCTAATAGTATCCCATATTGCTCTATTAAAATAAATAAAATAACGAGTCAAACGAAGTTTTATTTACATGAATATTCTCTCAATTCTAATAATAGACATTGTCTTTCTAAAAATAAGTTCTCTTGAGCACTTATAATAAACACAAAAAAGATTTTTCATAATTCTTCGTCTATTCTTCTTATACTATGTATATCATTAAATGAAATAGAGTGACATCTATTGAAATTAAATGGAAACAATTTTTTTTTTCATATTAAAAAACTATTAAATTACATATTGATTTCATTGAAAATGATAAGTGATACCTACGTATGCCAAACGTAAGTATCACTTAATAAATGCATATAACTCCACTACTAATCAAGATTAATCCAAACCTCCTGTTTTATTTCATGGAGAAGACTAGTCAATTTTTATTCTAGAATATTAAGTTAATAAACAGTGCAAAAAGATAGTACTTGTGATTACAAAACAAAAATTAAGTATTTTCGATATCTATTAGAATTTCAATCGTTATTAGAGACTTCAAATCATTAAAATCAATTTTCAAGAATTTATAAATACTCGTTCTAATGTATTCTTGAGGGTGTGAAAGCAAGAGAGCTAATTTAAATAACAATATGACTTATGAAACGGTCTAAGGTACTCATTTTTATGGTTGTCATAGTTTTCGAAGAGTCAAAAACGATTATGTTTCAATAAATCCACTAATTATTCAATTGATTTGTAGTATGTCGACACAAATGATTACAAAACAACAATCAAAGATCTGAAGAGCATTATATCGATTGATACTCAAGTAAATATCGAATAAAAACCACAGTATATTGTTTCAGCCATCCAAAAACAGTCCGATATTTGTATTGTAACCACAACTATTGTCTTTTTACACTGTCAACAAACTTGGTCCTTAAGAATAGAAACTTACTAGTCTCCTCTATTAAATAAAACAGAAGGTTTAGATTAGTTTTGATTGGCAGTAGAGTTATATGTATTTATTAAGTGATACTAACTTTTTGGACACCGTGTATAAGTACATTTTTCAAAGTACAAGTACTTTTTTTAACGAATAAGTAAAGTCATTTTTTTTTTGTATTTCTACTTGCCCAACTCCTGGTAAAGATAAACATGGTTGTGAATTTCTTTCTTCTAACAACATTCTCTCTCTTTGTCCAGGGCAAGAAATTAATTCACTGCATCATGTATCATTCTGTTTTCGTTCTTCTTACAATTTCACAACGTGCTCTTTTTCTATTAGTTTTCTGACATTGTAGACTATCATTTTATATATAAATACCTCGACTAATACATGTGACGATCAAAAAAAAAATAGATATGCATATCTATTTATATACAATATACACACTTTAACGTTATATTTACCATTCTATCACATCAACAGTACAACTACAAGTATGTCTATTTTTGAAAATGCGTACAGAGATCTTAATGATTATCAAAACATGCATCAGCAAACGAAACGGATGATTGTAAGTAATAATATTTCTTCAAAAGCCAAACAAAACCGCTATAAAAACAAGAATTTGTTTAAACTATCCACAAACCGAAATCCAAGTGTGGTGTTTTTTCTTTTTTGAAAACATGGTTTAATAGAATGTGATCTGCTGACCAACAAAAAATGACTTTTCAGCTTTAAGAAAAGCTTTCTCAGGTTGAAGATATTTAAACCTAGGAAGAAGTTGTTGTTTTTACTGAAAGTCTATGTTGCTTTCAATTTTGTGAAAATTCCGATTCCACCTTCTTGTTAAATCTCTACGACTTATTTTTTTAAGCTCACCGTCAAAAACATAGTAGAAGAGCATTATGGAATCGAATATCATCCTTAAACATTCTTGATAATAGCGACGCAAATTAGTTCTATTCGCATGTTTATGGGCTGTTGTTGTAAACCTATCTAGTTTTTTTTTCTGTAAGTTATAAAAGGAAATATTTGATTTTAATTATTTCGTTGTATTATCATTCATAAAAGTATCGATCACTTTTTTCCTTACCTTTACTTTGTTAAAAAAAATGTTTGCTAAACTTTGGCCAAATTAGCTAGAGTTATGTCAGTATGATTTCATTGTCTTCATAAATAGTAAGTTATTCATGCAATAGAATTATATTATTTGGAATCAGCGTAAAAAAAATTGGTTACCTGATGTATGTTTCCAAATGATTCTTTAACTTTTATTTTTTTTTGGTGAATATTTCAACCATAGTTCATATGACAACTGGAAAAGAAGATGAAATCAATGACAACCATAAATGTAAGAATCAGGTGACCAATTTTTTTACACTGATTCAAAATAATATAATTCTATTGCATGAATAGCTTACTGTTTATGAAGACAATGAAACTATACTGACAGAACTCTAGCTGATTAGCCCAAAATTTACCAAACATTTCTTTTTTCAACAAAACAAAGATAAGAAAAAAAATGATGATTACTTTTATGACTGGTGATACAATGAAATAAACAAGATCAGATATTTTCTTTTATCACTTAGAGAAAAAAACTAGATAGGTTCACTGTTCTCTGCTTATCGAGAAAAAAGTCACATGCACCAACTTTTTGGACGGATAATAATAATTTCGAACCAGAAAATCAATCGTATCAGTGAGCAGTTAGTTTCTGTTAGACTCCTCATCGAGTTCGCATCGTTAATAAAACAATCAAGTATATGAGTTTTGAATCGATGAGCATTTGTGTTTTTATATAAGACGTATTTTATTCTATATGTATTTTTCTTTATTGTCGAGTCAATGTCAGGAAAAAAGCGTATGTTTGAACGGTCACTAATATCTCTAACCTTTCTTTGTTCATATTGTTTGAAATGAACATTCTCTATTTTTCTCTTTGCATGGTGGACGACCATTGTGAAGAAAAAGAAATATATATTAACTTGTACGAGACATTAACCGATAAAAATTTCGTTTTTTTTGCTGTTGTCTTATAAATCGACGAATATGGCCATCGGAATTGACGTATGACTCAATTCTACCTTCTTTTCTATGTTTAATATCTCATATCATTCTTATTTTGATTTTTACTTGTAGAAGCATCGATTAGCTTTCGAAATAATGAAAATTACCTTTCAAATGGAAGATATGATAAAACAAACTCCAAATTCTTTATTACATGAAATGAATAACAACGAATATGTTCGTTACACGGATTTACTAAAAAGAAAAAGTGCAATGATTGACGAACTTCAAAAGTTGATGTTAAACGATGGAGATTTATGAAAACTAAACTGTTGAAATAAGACACTTTTGAATAACTAATTGACGTTCTTGAACATCAGACAAGATTATTGTCGGAAAAAATGAATTAATTTGTAAGGTTCTTATATTCTTGAGTTCAATCTGATCTTTTTCTGCACTTGTCTAATTCTTTTTTTCTTGTATTTCTTGTCAAAATTTTTTTGAATCCTACATGTTTATTTGAAAGACCAATAAATTACAAAAAGAAGTTATTTACATAAGGAAAAAAGATTATTGTTTTATTTATATTAAAAGAAAGAAAAAAAACAAAAATGATTATACTACTTACGCTAAAAATACCCAACTATTATTAGAATTTGTTTTTTTCATATATATACATATTATGTGGAATCGTCAATTATTGACATATGACTAGTCTATAGAATAGAAGGTATGATGCTAACAATAAAAGTCAAACAAGAAAATGAACATTTTATTTCTTCTATGATATTTATTTTTCTCGTTATAGGTTATTCTATATATATATATATTAATAAAGAAATTTTAGAAAGAAAAATACGATAATATTATAGAGATTCTAATGTTATCAGCAAAATAGTAGAAGTTTTGAGGTGTAGAGAGACTTTAATAGTTGAAAATACTTTTAAGATATCATTTCGAAGTTTGTATCTCATTAGTGTAAACTGTTTAAACAAGAGTTGCTTGTATGTTTCTGAAAGGTATTTTAAATCAGACATGAGAAAATTCATGTTTATAGAAGTCTATTTGTTTTTAACATGTTGATCTATTATTGCTAGTGGCTTGTTTACAGAGAAGAATAATCAACTGATTGAACTCGTTTAGAGAGATGATATCGCGGTCGATGATTAAACGTTTGATTTCAGTTTAATATGATGTTACATTGAGAAATAGCTAACGAGCAGTTATCTTCTGATAGAGAAAAGGTATGGCACCTTCTCTCAAATAACATCTCTTTCGAAGTAAAAATACATGTGTACTCATTAATAATTATTCATTCAGTGAAAACATATTGTCAATAAATTGAATTATTTTCTGTTTAGAACAACAGAAGAACACATGAGCTAATCATTTTCTGATTGTTAGCTTAGAATTTAATTTTGTTAGAAAGAATATTTCAAATATTCAAGCTATCTTTTATATATTTTATGAACAATCGGTTGAATAAAATAATCTTCTACCAATTGAGTGTATTAAGAGCACTTAGAAATGACTATTTCAGGAACGACGACTAATGCTAAGAGGTCTTTTAGTATTATAAATAAAATAAATACATTGACGAGCAAACATGACGTAACGACATCTGAATCCTACCATTGAACAGGGAATTCTCAATCAATCCAGGTTCAAAATCTACGATCGTATACGACCGTATATAAAAAAATACGACGAATAACAATGGTCGTGTACGATGGTTGTATACGACCATCGTATACGATGTTATACGATTATATACGATTGCCGTAAACGACCACTGAATACGATCATCGTAAACGACACTCGTATACGATCGTATTGTGGTCGTGCATTTTTCTCGTATATAGTAAGATAGCTTCATAGTGTTATATATGTGTCACTTTTTATTACAAATTATTTATTTGGTTTATATTTTCCATTTTACATGATCTATATGAAATATACTTTCTAATTATTAACAATGAACTGACTAGACTTTTGTTATATCTATTGTCCTGGAAAAGTGTGGACAATCTCTTTTTTATTTTTGTTTGGGATCCTTTACTGAAAAATGCTGTCTTGCATGTTTCATAGACGATGAGAAGTATATTTATTGTTAATATCAATCAAAAATAATGTAGAGATGTTTGACTAAAAAGATAGCTTTTTCAATCTATCCCTAGTCAAGACCCCCTAGCATAATCCACTGGGGAATCCCTGAATTTCCGTTAACTCTTCCAGAGACTCACGACAGGGATTCTCCAAGGACTCCGCTGAGACTTCCTAGGGACTCCACAGGGAGTTGATGAGTATTATCGGGGCCTCTCCAGGAAGCCACCATTAGAATCCTCCGAAAAATTCAAATTTATAAAAATTTTTGAGACACTCTCTAAAATTTGAGGACTCTATGGGAAGTTTTAGGGGGATTCTGAAATTTGCAACTCCTCCGGGGACTCATGACAGGGGGTCCTCGGAGATTTCGCATTTTTCAGGGGATTCCCCAGGAATTTAGTTGGGGAGAGTCGACTAGGAATCGCATTCACAATTTAATTTTTATTAAATGTATTAATGTGGATATGCATCTTGACTCTTTTCTTTACACTCGATTTTGTATAATAACTTATGTATTAGTTATCTTAAAAATTTATATAACTAGTCAGAGCAGTATTATACATAAAAATTATGCCAACAAAAAAACTGTATTGAATAATTTCATAAAAAAGTATATGCTCCTCCTGGGTGGTGAAGTAAGTATTAATTTAGAAAAAAATTTGTTTTTATTTTTAGTTTTATTTTTAGATTATTTATAGCAATAAATCGAAGGGTAAGTATTAGCTTATTTAAATAAATTTTATTTTTTATTTTCAGATTACTCACAACGATAAATTGAAGGGTAAGTATTAGTTCATTTAAATAACTTTTATGTTTTACTTTTAGATTTTCTATAACGAAAAGTCAAAGAGTAAGTATGAATTTATTTAAATTAATTTTTTTAATTTTTAGACTAGTTATAATGATATGTCGAACAATAAGTAATTTTTTATTTAAATTAATTTTATTTTTTGTTTTTAGATTATTTTTAGCGACAAACCAAAAAGTAAATATGAGTTTATTTAAATTAATTTTAGGTTTTTTAGATTAATTGCAACGACAAATCAAACAGTAAGTATTAATCTATATAAATAAATTTTTTTATTTTTAGATTGATTAGAACGACAAATCGTACAATAAGTATGAATTTGTTTAAATAAATTTTTTATTTTCAGATTATTAATAATGCTATGTCGCATAGTAAGTAATTATTTATTTAAATAATTTTTTTCATTTTTAGATTAATGAGAACTACAAATCAAAATATAAGTGTTAATATAAATTAATGTGGATGCCCAGCCTGGCTGGAGGTTTCATTTCTTTTGAACTGATGCAGCTCCGATGATACATCAAACAAATATTAGTGTTTTAGAAGTTATACTACTATCGAGTACTATAACTTTTAAAACACTAATATTTGTTTGATATACCATCGAAACTGCGTGAGAAAGAAAGAATTGGGACCTTTAGCCAGTCGAGGCACTCGGAATATTAGTTTTTGTGTTATTTTGAGAGCGGAGGAAGAGGCGAGAGCAGATGGGAAAACCTTATGTGGAATACGATAACAAATGACATTGTATACGACCATTTACGATCGTTTACGACTGTCGTAATGCTCGTCCTGGGAAGAAGTATCTTTACAAATACTGGATAAATTTTTTCAAGTATTTATAAGAGATCTCTGAATCAGTAGCTGACTAGCGAATTAACTCTGCCTTATTGATTACAACATCCTTAAATACGACATATCATAAATCAATGGGATTTAGAAAGAATAGGAAGTTTCCCAATTGACTTGCAGAGAGAGTTCACCATTCTAGATCATATATCTTTACTTTTATTAGTATGCAGAGAAAATAGTTTGGTATTTTCAAAAGATCTACTACAATAGAAACTTCTAGATTAAAATATATTCCTGTCTCTCGCAGTAAAGTAAACTGTGTTAAAATAGTAGACAACGTTTTTTTTCTCTTCCCTCTACTCATCTTTTTGTTTCTCTCGAATTAGCTCAATATTATTATAATTATCGTTATTTTCTATCTGTTATAACCGAATTGTTTTTCTTCTCAGCATCTCAATGAAACACACTTTCTGATCTATTTATTGTTAATCCTTGGTGGAAATAATAAATTTTCGTATTAAAAAATACAAAATAGGATACCAAAATAAATAAATTCACACAGCCATTCTTCTGTGCACTGTTCAATAGTATTAAGTGAGACTTATCTCAACTGTTTTTTTTATAGTTCATCATGCAGTTTTATTACTATAGATTTCAAGATATTTTCATAATAGGAGATAATAACGCAATGAACATGGAAAGCGAATAAGACATTTACATCATTTTATGACAAACTATAAAAGAAAAGGATCTTAGACGCAATACTGTCTAAATACGATTACATAATGTATTGTATGCTTTTAGAAAAGATTATCTCCGTCCATTCATCAACGCATTTGTCATTTTGTCCAGAGAAACGAATAACACTATTGTTACAATTCAATTCGATTTAATATAACTTACTCTCGAACTTCTGTTCATCAGACTTTAAAATTTTATCTTCTGAATTTTATCTATAATAATAAGCAGGGTTGAAACCGGTCGGTTGGAATCACATCTTTGACTGATGAAATTCTGGCTAAAAAACATCGAGTATTTCTTAACAACGATTTTTAGAATAACAAACTTCCAAATATGAGATAACTTTGAATCGTTAATTGTTATCAATTATTAGTACATAACAGTTCTAGAAAAATCTTCTCAGAAAATTCATTTTTGTAGTATACTCGAAAAAGATCATTAAATACAAAACAACAATATGTTTCAGTGAAATTTTCAATGTATTCTCTTAGAATTGTTAAGCATCAAGTGAAACCTTCCTAATTGTTATGAACAGTGCAAGTCTAACGTAGAGGTTATACGAATTAACGAAAAACACTGATTTTCTGCATTATCTTATATTCATCAAACGTAGAACACGAAGAATAATTTGTCAAAATAGGAAACACCAGGACACGAGAACCATTGCAGAAACAACTGATAAAAATGAGGAACACGATTTTACTTGAATAATACATTGTAAAAAAGCTAGAAAATGTACCACTATGAATAGAAATGAAATTCCTACTGTAACATTGAGAATATTACCAAAATATTCTCTGCCGTTCACTGACAATGAAAACGATAAAGTAACAATACGAGTCTTAGACTTTTGATTGTTTTTTTAATGAGCTAACACTTTTAATGTTTCTTCTATAAAAAAGTTTCATCTTAAAGTTTATTGTTTTCCCTAAAAAATCGAAGGTGTGCCGTCCATGGTTAACTATCCATCGATCATAATTAACTTAACATTAATTTTTAGTATTAACTGATAATTACTAATGATTTACTACAATAGGTGAATAATTAATCGTTGATAAGTATTAACAATCAATTATCTAAAATTAATAATGATCAGATTTACATTTTGATCACTTTCAATTAGATTTATTAATCGAGTTTGATTAGAACCTATTATTAAATTCATCTTTCTTATTTTTGTTTGTCTATGGGAAAATGCTTATTCATTCAATGATTTACAGAAGAAATCTCCCGACTGATAAATCGCTTTTTCTTTAAAACTAGAAATATCAGTTTCCACTTCCGTTCCTAGAAATCTGGAGCTAGGATTAGCACTTCAACTTTAAAACTACTTTAATAGAGTAGTCTAAGTTTAAGTTAAAGTTAAAGTCGAATACTTTAAATTTTAGAGTTAAAGTAAGCGACGTTTAAACTGTAACTTGCATTTTTTTAAAGTTAAAGTTGCATTCCTAGCCGAAAGTCAGTGTTGGTTCGTGTGTCCAGAAATCATGAACCTCCTGCGACTTGTCATTCCTAGTAATGAAATCCAAATGAAATGTTTATTGAGAACTATTCTTGAAGAGCTCAACGACAGACACATTGTTAAGCCACAACTGATACTACTCTGGTGATATTTTTAGAATTTAGGGATCGGGAACGATGGCATGCATAGATACAATCAGAAAAGTGATTGTTTTGTTTTGGCGACGAGCACATATTGGGTCGCAAGAAAAGAAATATATATGTGACTCTAGGTTTCTTGAAACGAGAACCGGTATAGATATTGGAATCCGAGTTTCTGTCAAATGGAAGCCGAGAATATAGAGTGAGTTGTTAAATAATGAAAGAATAGGTATGTGTAAACACTCCTGAATGCTCGAAAACGCGTAGAAACGAATTGTCAAATGATTCCCATTCGTTAGATACGAAATCCCAAGGAATGAGAATAGTGACATTGCTAATAGAAGGATTAATGATAAGCAAGATTCTCGATAATTTTCATGAGTGAGGGGACTAAAATTTGATAGATAGTCCGACAGAGGTTGTCTAGTAGCAAATAGCAGCCGAAAATTCGTCTGCCAGAATTTGGCAGACAGTTTTTGAGCAAATACTTAAAATTTCCTGAGACACGGCATGAAAAGTGCCTATGGCTAGCCATCGGCAGCTTCCCCACATCGAGGAGCATGATGATAAGATAAGTATTTTTCTATAGATGTGTGACATAAGGATATATTTTAACTTAGTCAAATGTAAATTTCCCAATGATAATAATTGTTATAGTTGAAAAGATCGAAATGAAACAGTTTTCATGATGAGATATTCGATAATTGAAATAAATAAAAAACGTTTTATTGTTCATAGATAGATAATGAGACAAAATAATAATTTATCATTAATTAAACAAGAATTTTTCATATAAAAATAAACTTTTAGTTTTGAATAACGAAATTTTTCGAATAATCTTGATAATTTCTCGATATATATTTGTATTAGTTGATTATCTTCATTTTAGAGAATAAATTAATAAAATTAGTCTAGTTTATCTTCTCTTTCTGTTCATTATTTATCATATCGAAACATCTCGAATTTAATTTGATTTGTAAATTTGTGAATTAAAAAAAAAATAAAACTAAAAATAAATTGGTTGAATGAAATAATTGTGAATGGAAACTGTAGAAAAAAAAAGCGGTTAAAATTCGAATAAAAAATTCGTTTAAATGTTAATATTGTTTGTATTTTTTTTAATAATTTATTTATTAAATATAAATTGTTTATTTAATGAAAATAATGAAAATATCTTATTAGATGATATTGGAAATAAAATAATGAATTATGTTAATGAAAATAAAATTCCATTAATATTAAAAAAAAAATTAATTGATAATGAAGGAGGTTCAATGAGTTCAACATATGATGGATATTTAAATCTAGATAATAAAACAAATCAATCAATTATTGTTAAATATTCTTCATTTAAAACAATATGGAATTATGTTCAATCAATTGAAATTGATCGTTTATATGAAAATGGTTGTTATTCACAAATTGATTCAAATCAAAATGAATATCTTGTTTATAAACAAGATCAAAATCGAATTATTTATCAAAATTGGATTCCAAGTGAAGTTTATGTTGCATTTAAAGGATATATTTGTCCTAATTTAATGCCAACATCAACAATTCTAAATCGAAAATATTCATATATATCTTTTTTTAAATCAATTCAACAAAATGATGATGAAAGAAAATTTGTAATTATATTTAAAAAACTCGAAAATGGTATATCATTAAAAAAATATCTTCAATTATATTCAAATCAATTAACAATTGATATTGTTAAATATTTAATTTATTCAATATTAATTGGAATAATTAAATTAAAACAAATGTCAATAATACATCTTGATCTTAATAGTGGAAATATATTTATTATCAATAATGATAATCAACATACAATTAAATTTATTGATTTTTCAATTATGAAATTTATTGATCAATCAAAACAAATTCAAGTTATGTATTCAGAAAATTTACATCAATCATTTAGAAATATTTTTCTTAATTGTCCTTCTTGTTTTCATTCAAATAATTATATTCAAAATATTATTTTTCCTCATTTATTTCATCAATCATTTAAAAATTATTCCATTGAACAACTTTTAAATCATCCATGGTTTTATACCAATTAATTGATTTTTTACCTTTATTTTCAATATTTATATTTATATTATTCGAAAAATAAATTTAATTCATTTTATATTTCAATCGATATTTATTTTTTATTTGTTCAAATCGACAAACTATCCATTAGAATCATTAGAGATTATCCAGAATATGATTTTAACAGGTTTTTGTCTTTTTTGTGTACTCAAAAAGTTCATACACTCTACAATCGATAACTTTTCAAAGGAGAGTCCGATCACAATGACATTTTCTACACACTTTCGTCTCATCCATATCTCGGTCGAGAGAAGAAGATGAGAATGATTTGTCGAGCCATTGCTGACTTATCGCAAAAAGAGTCATTATTCCCTATGCTTTTCTATGCGAACATTGACCTATGCCAGTTTTCGTAAAAAACTTTTCCTCTCATTATCAAACAAGATCCCAACTATTATATACTATTCGATAGAAAATCTCACGGGCTACAAAATAGTATATAAAACATTAAGAAATAAGAGAGCTAAGTCATCTATTGAAAAGATATTTAAACGGAAATCAATTCTGTTTTTGTCTACGCTCCAATGGAGCGAAAAGTAAAGCTCCATCTTCCGATCACAGAGATCATACTTCGAGATTTTCCAGAGCGGAGAACTCAAATCTGAGCTCCACTTGTCTCGAAATCCTATTGGTTGAACAGTAACCAATAGAAATAAAGTTTTAATAGAAGGGACTCGCTAGAATAATTCTGACATCTACGTGTGCTAAGATGACTCATCAATCCAGTTCACTTTTTGAAGTACACATTACATTCAGATTTAAATCCGATGTTTCCACATTTATTTAAAAATTTTTCTCGAAAAATGTAAGATGAAAATATTCATCCAAGATTAGTAAAATAACTATAAGATTGAACTACAAATGTGCATTTCGAAGTGTCATTTTTTCAGATGATAGCTCTAATCTTTCTCTACAAAATTATATATTCCGATCACTTAACTATATATAGGTTTGTCATAAATATCATCGATTTACTGAGAGGAAGAGTCGAAACTTTTTAATCATCTTCCTTTAGTTGCATCATTTCTTACCATAGACAAAATCGCTCGTTCTATTATTAACAGGGAGACAAGCCAAACTTACCTCATCGAAGTATTTCCTGAAGTCTGCCAACGGATCTGTACAAATCCTTCATGATGTACACAACAAAAAATTTTCGTACCTCGTCCGGAAGTGAGATACGAAACATGGCCTCGGAGCTAGGTCTGGGTACAAAGCTCGTAGGCGAATGTTTAGTAGTCGATCGAATCCTGGCATCCATAGATCGATTGGGATTAACCTGAACAATATACAGGTGGCCACAGTAAAGCAACAGTGCATAGCTATCCATAGTTTCGCAAACTGTCCTAGTAGCCATTGGGAGAACGGTGCGATGATGTCTCAACCGCATGTTCAGTAGAAATGAACAATAGTATCGATAATATCATATGCAAAATGGAAATTGGTACATGAAACATAATAACACTCACTGACAAAGAACCAGAACTGATTGAGGAAACCAAAAAGTATCGACTAGATATAGTTGGACTTACATCAACCAAATGGTAGGATAATAAAATCCTAATTATGAACAATGGACGACAATTATTTTACTCTGATGTTGACCCATCAATTCGTGTTAAAGCAGGAGTAGCAATACTCTTAAATCCTCGACTTGAGACCAATTAATGAAAATAGTCGTTCTTCTAAGGTTGCAGTTAATAAAGAAAACTCTAACGATAATACAAGTGCATATAACTAACATAAAATTAGAATATAGGACATGTATTGATGAAGTCTTCGAAGTTATACAAAGAATTCCTGTGATCAATTCTATAGCACTGATCGAAGACTTAAATGCACACGTTAGCAGCGAATCACAAAAAATGGCATTATGTCATTGAAGGAAATGGTGTTAAAGATCTCAATATACAAGACATGTAACTATTGAATTTTGTGCAACTCGTGATCTATCGATAATGAGGGCCGTTTTTCCAGTACAACAGTACTCACAAGTATACATGGTATAAAACAAGGGATTTCATGATTCGACGATCATTAACTGACTGCGTTATCATATCAGACGACTTATGATGAGCCGTGATGAATTTCCGGATAAACTAAGACACCGAGCTGGCAATCGATGACCATCTGATGGTTTACGCTCTTCGACTGTTTTCATCTATTCAACATCAGAAAAGTAAATCAAAGATGTTGATTAGAATACGGTGAGAAGCGTTGGCTGATAAAGAAACCTGCCGGATTTTGCGAATAAAGATCGATCAACTATTCTCTCAGATACTATCGGAGGAGGCCAACATTGAATCTGAGTAGCTCTTATTCCGTATGGTAGTTCTAGACGGTGCGATAGAAACATGTGAAACTAAACATCTTGAACTGCAAAATGGCCAAAAGAAAACTGCATAATGAACCGAAAAAGTTCGTGCGATTATTGGCAACAAGAAAGCAAAGAAATTTGTAACTGAAATAAAAGCAACTTCATAGAACAATTTTAGATATTATCTAGAAAGAACATTAAATGAATCATCATTGGATGGAACTGATGATATCTCTTTGACATATGTTACATCAAGCCCGTTTATGCATTATTCATAGACTTAGAGAAGATATTCGGTCGAATTCCATCAGACTTTCTCTGAAAAGTGTTCAGTGAATATGGAACTAATGATCATCTTTTATCTACAATTCAATCTTTCTACAATGACGATTGCAAAAGCTGTGTTCACATAAATGGGGTAACAAGTCGAATTGGTTCTGCATGCGCATTGATGTACGACGAGAGTCTGTATATTAATACTAATATTTATAATTTTCATGAACAAGATATTTCGGAAAGATACCAACCTGAATTCCCATGGAAATGAGTTGTGTTAAGGTAGATTCTCTTTTTTTTGCGGACAACGTCGCTCGCCTTGGAGCAACGATCGATAGACTTTAAAAGGCTCTCAATCAGTTCGCGCATGAAAATCAATGTAAAGAAAAGCGAAATAATCGTTCTTTCAAGACGAATGTAGTGCTCTTCGCCGAAAAGCATTTCATCGAAAGACTTTCAGAATGCTTTAGACTGCTGAAAGCCCTTTAATTCTTATACAGATTTGTTAATCAAGAAGAATTCAACTCATTTTGCTCTCATCCTTACTTTAGAGCGTCCTCCGTGGTAAAAAAAAACTTTCGACGATGTGTTTTTTGGCGAAGAGCATACATACCATCTATCTCAATATAAAAATATTTTCTTTTTCTTCAGTAAAATTAATTTATCTATAATATTCGAAAGCTTAGATTATAGTTGATCAACATTGAACAATAAAAAAAAAAACGAAACATTTGTATGAATTATTTCGCTAATTTAATAAGTAAAGTTTTCAGTAAAAAATTTTTATTTTTATTTGAAAAGAAAAAATAAAGAATTTATTTAATTCTTAAAATGACTTTTTTCTTCTTGTTTTTGTTTTTTTAAACAGATCATTGACTAATTTATATATATAAGTTAAATAAAATAAAAATGAGTAAATAAATAATATTAATGATAAGAATTGTAATAAAAAATTTATATTTGTAAAATATCATATAAAGCTTCTAAAATAGTTCCACAAGAACAAGATTGAATATAAGATGAATAAGGACATAATTGACCATTTGAATTTGTTAATTCAGGTAAACCTTGCCAATCATTTGAATAAAATAAATTCATAATTGATGATATTATTTCTCGAACATGTTTTATTGTTTGTTCAAATATCAATGGATCATTTTGTTGTTTTGACCAATAAAGTTTCGCTCGTATATAATAACCAGTTAACCATAACCATTCTGGACCATTATGATAATTAAAACCATGTGCTCGTTTATAATCATATGAATCATCATCATATAAATAATCACCAACATAATTATAATCACTTTAATATTAAAAATAAATTAATTAAGGAGAGAGAGAGAGAAAGAAAGAGAATATATCTCTTACCTTGGATCAAGAGTTTTTATTCCATATTTTCCTAAAAGAATTCTTTCTGCTTGTTTTAATGCTAACCATATATGAGTTTTATTAAACATTTCTGGAGCCTTTTAATAAAAAAAAAAAAGAAAATATTTTTCTTTTAATAAAAAAGAAAAGATAAAATTTACAATAACAGCAGCAATAATAAAATTGGGTCTTAATTGAAAATCAGTCCATATAAGTGTTGAATTAATAGTATCTTTATAAATTTGTTTTCTATTAACATATTCAGATGAATTTGATTCATCGATCCAAAATTCATTTTCAAAATTTTCATCAATACGATTTAACCAATCAGTTAAATATATTTTTCTTTTATCATTAGATTCTTTTGTTTTGTTTTTGTATAAAAATTAAAAAAAATAAAAAAAATAAAAAAGTGAAAATAATTACCTGAATATATTTCAATATAATGATAAGGAAAATATCCTTGTTTATTCATCCGAATAATCCATGAAAGTGTTGCACGAGATAAAGCAACTAATTCAATAGATGAACCATCACGTGGTGTTGCTGGATGACCTTTATTCATTGCTTTATCACTTGAACCCATTTTATCCATCCAAGTTCCACAATTCCAACGATTTCCACCATATAGAAATCCATTATTTAAATCTACACCTATTTTATTATAAAAACCTTTATCTGTCATATATGGATCTAGAGAATATCCAGCACCACGTTCTTGAAATTTATATGATTGAAGATGAATAAAAAGAACTTGATAAATAGTATCATATAATGATTGATTATATGAATCAACTATTTCTAATGGACTATCATCATTTGGATATAAACGTGAAATTTTATCTGAAAGAATTTCATAACCATTAACAACAAAATCAGTATAATGTGATATTGAATATAACCACCACCAAACAGCATCACGAGAATTATAACGAGCAGTTTTACCATCAGCTATTAAATTTGGAATTAAACCATGACGAATAGATCCACCATAAGATAATATTAAATAACGAGCTTCTTCATATCGACCAGTTAATAAAAGAAGACCACGTAATGATATAAATGTATGACGAGACCAATTTCTCCATAAACCACCAGAAAAATGTGGAAATCCAGCAGCTAATGATGGAATTTGTTGAATACGTTCAAATGTTTGTTCATCTTTTTCTTCAATTGGATGAGGTTGACGAATATCCGATGATAATAATGGTAAACGTGCATTTCGAATAATACTTATTAATTGAATACTTGTTTGACTAAGTAAACGAACAAATAAAGATGAGTCAATAATAAATGAATTGATTAATTTATATCCATGTTCTAATAATTTATTATATGAACCTTTTATTATTAAATCAAAATATATTGGAACCATTAAACGTGATAATGAATTTATATATTGAAAAGCATTTTCATACCATTTACCTAACTAATTATTTTTTATTTATTTTATTTAATATAATATAAAACAAACCTCTTTTGTATTTTGATGAATTTTAAGTCTATTAGATATATAATCCATTAACCAATTTCCTTGTTTTAAATTAATAATAAAAGGATGTTTTATTTGATTAAATAAACGAATTTTTTCTAAAATTAATATTTGTCCTTGAAGACCACAATAATTGAGTATTCCATAATCAGGTATTATATAACAATCAAAACCTTTTCCATCAGATTTTTCTTCAATAGATGTACGATAAATAATACGTTCAAGATCAATTAATGTTAATTTATTAATTATTTTATTAAATTGACTTGTTGGATTTGAATATTGATTTAATATTTGTTTTATATTTATTATTGATTGACGAATTTGTGGAAGAAGTGAAATTTGTAAAGCAATTATTGATCCAGGACGAAATTCATTTGTAAATTCAATTCTTCGATAACCAATATAATCAGGAGAATTTGGAGATTTTAAACGAATACAACGACTTTGTTCAATAAATATATTTTCATGAAAAAATATTTTTGTTTGTTCAAGTCCATTTATATATTCTTTTGATTTTTTAAAATTTCTAACTGGTTCTTTATCTTGTGGATGATTTATTGAACCTTCAAATAATATTTTATCAATAACACCTTCTATTGATAATGAACTAATATATTCCCATTTTTCACTTGCTTGAAAAAAAGATGTATGACCTATTAATAATACTGATTTATCACTTTCAGGATTATAACGAGTTATTAATAATACTGATCTACTTAATTGATCAACCATTAACTAAAATTAATTCATTTTATTATTGATAATACAACTTTTTTTTATTCAATTATTCAAACTTTTCTTTTTCATTAGATT